TCATAAAGCGACTTGCAATCGGTCACGCAGCGGAGCTGGCCACCAGCCAGGCTTTCTACTCTCTTGAGCTCGCCGCTCAGTATGGTCATTACGAACGATCTAACATATTGCCCAAGCTCGACAGCCTCAGAACATGCTGTAGTCTCCGCTCCGAACGTTGACCTGCAAACCCGAGGATTGGCCGACGACTTCCAATCCAAGATACTAGAGACTCCTCCACCCTGATTTACTTGAGAAGCATCCGACAGCACCACCAGAATGCCCATCTGACTTGCAACGCGGGAGTTGGCCTTCTTCGCTTTCCGCTCATTGTGCTGGTAGGGTCCCTCATTCATGAACCCCAACTCATGGTCTCCAGGCGTAAGAATGAAGCCGTCTTCGCCCTCCAGAAGGGCGTTTGCCCACGCTGAATCATGATAAATCAAGAATTCCAGAGATCCCAGATCTAAGGGACGAAGCCAGATTCCTTTGTCTTTGTGCTCCCAAGCTCTTTTGGCAATCTTGTTGGTGAACTTCAGGTCCTCAACAGTGGGATTCTTTTGACACTGTTGTGCCAAGGATACTGAGCACTGTAGGTCCGGTCTGGACTGACCGCCGAGCCAGGAGAGCGCGCCGATCAGGGACTGATTGTCGATGCGCTGTTCGTCCGAGGCAAGATCCAGATCATTTTGCCCCTTCTCGATCGAGAGCTCGAAGAGTCTCGAGCTGGCGTACGGTTCCTGACTGACAAAGACCCCCTCATCAGTCACCTGCACATGGGACCCTATGTAGTCGAAGTCGTCAATCTCCCAGTCATCGACCGGAAAAGTACTCGACAGGGTCTCGCGGATGAGTTTGGAGAGAGACCGAGGACCAACGACCAAGAGGTCATCGACATGGACTCCAACATAAGCCCTGGGAACACGGCTCCCATCTGAAACCAATTGGAACAAGCATGGATCCAAGGGGCACTGCTCGAAGAAGCATTCTTCTCCTTCAACCCTGATGCGGACCTTGAGCATGTCACGTCGGAGTCGTCTCCACCACTTCCGAGGGCTATCAGGCAAACCGAAAACCCCTTTTGCGATGCGGAACAACTGTCTATGTTCAAGACCCCTCAATCCGGTCCTGGGTTGTCGTAGATAAAGTTCTCTCTCCATGTCATCACCATTGAGGAATGCAGCCGTAATGTCCCCGGCTGAGGCCTCCCAGTCGTGGGAGCGTCTTCGGCTCGCCAAAACCTGGAGCAGTGTCAGGATTGTAAGGCGATTGATCGTTGGGGCATCCGTCTCGAGGTACTTGACATCTGGATCACGATGCCCTGACACTACCAGTCGTGCTTTGTGTTTCCAAGGAACCGTAGGGTCTAACTTCCGCCTTGACCAATGTTTGTCTCGATAAGCGAACCTGGAATTAAGTATCCGTGATGGATCAATCTCGTTCTGGATTCGCTGTGACTCTTCGATGCTCAAGGGGACCAGGGCCTTGTGATCCAGGTGTTCTCGGATTTGTTTGTCCTCTGCAGACCTAAAAGCTTCGTGCTCCGACTCGGGCACCAGCTTCCACGGAATCTCCTTCTCCAAAGCTTTCTCCAAAGCTCTGTCAGTCTGACAGCGCTTCATCATGTGCACTGAATGTTCTTTGGATTGAGGAGCTTTTTGACGTACCCTTTTACGAACGGGACCAGAAGGATTCGGCTGCTCAAGCTGTCTACGTTCACTGCCTGTAGCCCTGTCAAGAATCCCCGAAGTGTCATTGGAATCCCCACCCTCAAGCTCAAGCGAGAACTCCATGTCCTCGGCCATCTCTTCATCGGGAAGAACAGGAAATTCTTGGCCAGGATCTTGTCCATGAGGGTCGGGTGCCTCGGAAGGTTCGTACTCATCACTGGAATGATAGGTTTCCGGGTCATCAGGGTCAAGATTCAGGAGCTTTTCGAGGTCGTCACGTGCAATCTTTGAGGATAGAATGTCCCCCACTTCCTCCGGTGATGAAGGACGCAAATGTTCTTCAGCAACAAGATGACAACGACCCCCGAAAGAAACCCACCAGTTCCCTCCTTCAGTGCCGATGATAGTTGCTGGGCCTCTCCATGACCCTCTCTTCGTTGCAACCTTCTCGATGCGATAGAAACTCACCAATTCACCAACCGCATAGCCTCCTCTCTTGACGCGACTCCTCTGGATGAGAGCTTTTCGGAACTTGGTATCAAGTTGGGTGCGAAAGAAAGCCATCTTAGCAGCAGTCCTAATACTCACTTCCCTCTGGCGTTGTCTATCGGAGGACATCACCTCGAGAAAGCGTTCCTCATCATTGCTTGCACAT